AGCCCAGCAGGTCGAGGCTGCAGTGGCTGGGAGCGGCCACTGCACTCCAGTCTGGGCAATTGAGTGAGACTCCAACTCAAAAAAAATAAAATAAAATAACCCAGTACCTGCCAAAGTCTTTATTCCTTTTGGGCAACTGAGGACTCATTAAAGCTCACATTAAATCATGAATTTTTCCTGGTTTGCTGACATCATTAATTCATTCAAATATTTTTTAACCCCTACAACAATCTCAGCACTTTCACTTGCCTTTCCCAAGGTCTCATACATTAATACTGAGTCAGCAGTGAAGCACTTTTTGTCCATGAAACACAATAGTTCAGAACTCAAATGAACATCTTTCACCTGTATTGTAGGAATAAGTGTCTATTACTCTGATGAAGGGGCGACAGGTGGGCGACGACGATCCACATGGTAGGAAAGACACATCTTCTGAATCTCAGTGTTCGGGTCCTTAGGGCAAGACTCATCCCCTCTCCCTAGCCATGGCTGGCCAGGCCACCAACACGGAAGAGAAATGGCCCCTTTCATCCCTCTGCCGATATGTCACCTCCTCAGGCAGCTGGCTTGTCCTTCCCGATATTCTCTACCTCAGTCCCTTGCTCTGTCACAGCATGTATCGTGACTCATAATTATTTTGTGGTTCATTATTAACTATCTTGTGGTTCATCTACTCCACTAAAGTACAGGCTCCGTGAGGGTAAGGACTTGGCTCACCACTGCATGCCCACTGCCACGCAGAGATGGCCCCAGGTGGCACAGGTGCAGACGAGGGTATGAGGCAGGGCCTGGAAGAGGCGAGGTGATGCTCAGTATATCCCTCAGGAGAGGATCACAGAGCTGAGAACAGGCCAAATGCAAAGCAGCAGCAGCCAGGGAGAGAGGACGTGGGGGGGTGGAGGGACAGACTGGGCACGCTGCCGGTCATCACACAGAAAGGCATGGGAAATAAAACTCCTTTGCCATCCCAGTCCGGCAAGGGCAGAAGAGAGGGTGCCAACTGGTCCACATGGACCCTCTGGCAAGCTTGACAGGTAGACCCCAGGGGAGCTAGCTGTGCAGCATGTGGCAGCAGGGTCTGAGTGGGACAGGGCCTGATTACATGATTTCTGTTGTCCTGGAGACAAGACAGCAAAGCTACATTACAACAATCTATCTAGTTCCCTATACTCAGCAGCAACCTTCCCCACCATTTGTTCCTCATGAAAATTATCCTGGGAGGACACAATACACTGGTTGGCTCAGAAACGTCTTCCAGACCACCTGGCAGTTGCATTCTCACTGTCAGTGGCTGGCTCCAGCACCAGCCCCTGTAAAGGGGGACCCAAAAAACCTGGAATTTATAAAATATTGTGTATTTATTCTTACATGTTTGAACTTCAGTCACCTTCACCTTCAAAGTACACTTCATCTGATGCACTACACCTACTGGGATGCTTTTTCCACTGCTCAGAACAGTTTTTGAACTTGTCGATTTTGATGCCCTTTAGTGCTTCTGCCATTTTTTGTTTCACCTCTTCCACACTGGCAAAATGTTTCCTTTTGAGGACTTACGTCATCCCAGGAACCAGAAAAAAAAGTTGTCCAGGGCAGGATCAGGTGAATACGGAGGGTGTAGTACAGGGATCATGCTGTTCTTGGTCAAAAACTGCTACACACTCAGCACAGTGTGGGCAGGTGCGTTGTCATGGTGGAAGAACCAGTCACCTGTTTGCCACAACTCAGGATGTTTCTTCTGCAAATCGTGATGCAACCTCCTCTAAGCTTCTGTATAAAAACTTTGGTTGACCATTTGATCTGCAGGAACAAATTCCAAGTGTACAAGGAGGCTGCTGCCCTCTAAAAAGAAAATTCCAGGTTTTTTGGGGTCTCCTTCGTAAATAACTGCCCTCGAATTCAGTAACTGACCATGCTAGGGCAGCCAGCACCAGATTGTCCTTCATTGGTGGGACCATCTACAAACCCTCATCTGAGTACCTGTCCACTGGCCTCTGCCACATACCCCAACTCTGCTAGTAGCACAGCTCTGCCACACAGTGGCACCATATCAGGATTCAGTAAGTCTGGAGATCAGGGCGTTACCTGTACAACCTGGCTGTCTGACTTCTCTGGATCTTCTGCAGATTGAACAATTAGCTGACCAATTTCTTTGTGCAATTTACCCATTGTCATGGCCTCTGGTGAGATAAAAGGAATGTGTGTGTGAATATTTAGAAGTGGACATGATAAAAAATAAGCAGGCCACTGGTCTTAAAACCTGAAAGACCACTGAGGGAATTTTCAAAAAGTGGCTGACAATACCCCACATTTTCATTTTATCACTAAACACAAATATAAGAACATGCTAGGAGGTAAGGGATAGTCTAATCATGATTTCTACTTCATGCCAAAATAAAAACAAATCCATATCAAACCAAACTTCCCGTTCACACTCACCTGCCAGAATTTTTATGTTTCTTTCTAGATAAAACCTAATAAAAAATTCTAGCCGGGCTCGGTGGCTCAGCCTGTAATCCCGCGATTTTGGGAGGCTGAGGTGAGTGGATTGCCTGAGCCCGCGGGTTCGAGACCCGCCCGGACAGTAAGACCTCATCTCTACAATAAATTAAAAAATCAGCCAGGTGTGGTAGCGCATGCCTGTAATTCCGGCTACTTGGAAGGCTGAGGCGAAAGGATCACCGGGAGCCCAGCAGCTCGAGGCTGCGGTGGCCGGGAGCAGCCACTGCACTCCAGTCTGGGAGACAGAGTGAGACTCCAACTCAAAAAAAATATAAATAAATAAATAAATGCTGTGTTTTTGACACAAAAAAATCCTTCTAGCTTGAGCAAGCAAGGCCCTCAAACACTAGTTTTAGAGATTCAGCCTGAACATGCAACTGCTTGCCTTGTATCTTAGTCAACAACAGAACAGAGAACTAACCTTTTGCAAGTGGAGCAATGGTAATCTCACTATCTGCCAGATTCACAAACACATCATAGAGGTCTGGTCTATTGCTCACTTCCAGGTCTACAAATCCAGCAATGTAACCTGCATTATAAAGATGACAAACATTACTGGAGTAGGAAGAAATACTGTGAACATATCAAAAGAGAATTGAAGCCGGGCTCGGTGGCTCAGCCTGTAATCCCGTGCCTTTGGGAGGCCAAGGTGAGTGGATTGCCTGAGCCCGCGGGTTCGAGACCCGCCTGAGCAGCAAGACCTCATCTCTACAATAAATAAAAAAAAAAAAATCAGCCGGGCGTGGTAGCGCATGCCTGTAATTCCGGCTACTTGGAAGGCTGAGGTGGAAGGATCGCAGGAGCCCAGCAGGTTGAGGCTGCGGTGGCTGGGAGCGGCCACTGCACTCCAGTATGGGCAACAGAGTGAGACTCCAACTCAAAAAAACAAACAAACAAAAGAGAATTGAGTCTAAAGGCTCATCAACTGCTTTCTCTTCACTGTTGTATTTATTCAGGAACATTATCTGTACCCTGTGGCATTTATTAAATTGACATTAATATCAGTTGCTGGAAGAAATTCACATAATTTAAAATGTTCCAAAATAAGGCTTCAGTGTCAAGGAGCAGGCTGAAGTAAAGCATTTACTTTTCAGTCATTGTTATCTGGGTCAAGAATGAGCAGAAGGTAGCAAAGATTCCCTCAGACAATGGTCCCCTTTCAGGTCTTTGTCTCCAGGAAATCACAGCCAAATGCCTGGGTACTCGGCATTAGAGAATGGCATCACCCTTTGCTAAGTTCAGATCTGACACAACATAGGCTAAATTAGGGCAACTCAAGAATCAGCAGACCTCTGGGAATGATGTTAAGACAACAGTTCCCAGACTTTTTTTATTTTCCAGAGCAATGATGGTAAGACAATAGTTCCTAGAATTTTTTTATTTTTCAGAGCAATACTTACAAAAAAGAATTTTTTTATTGGAGGATCAATTTATCATTGCTAGAGTTTAACTTTAACAAGTAAGGATATTTTAAAAAACAACATCAGGTTGGGTGTGATGGCTCACACCTGTAATCCCAGAACCTTGGAAGGCCAAGGCAGGAGGAATGCTTGAATCCAGGGTTCGAGACCAGCCAAGGCAACATAGCAAGACCCCCATCTCCACAAAAAATTAGATGGACATGGTGGCACACTCCTGTAGTCCCAGCTACGTGGAAGGCTGAGGTGGAAAGATCACCCAAACCCAGAAGATCAAGGCTGGGATCTGTGATTGTGCCACTGCCCTTCAATCTAGGCAACAGAATGAGGCCCCAATTCAAAAAAATTAATTAATTAAAATAAAAAATAAATGGCAAGAACAACAAAAATAAAACCTACTACCAAGATCCAGAGCCAGACCCACTCATACATGAAAAAATATGACATATAATGGACTGATACTTCTGATTACTGAAAAAAAGAGACTATTCAATAAATGTCTTGGGACAAGTGGTTATCCACATGGGAAAAAAAATTAAATCAGACCCCAAGTCACACATTACACACAAAAAAATTCTAGGTAGATTAAAGACTTAACTGAGAAAGAAAAACATATTTAAAACTTTTACAAGAAAATACAAGCTGGGCACAGTGGTTCATGCCTATAATCCCAACACTTTGGGAGGCTGAGGCAAGAGGATTGCCTGAGTCCAGGGGTTTGGACCAGCCTGGGCAACTTGGCAATACCTCGTCTACACAATAAATCAAAAAATTAGCTGGCCATGGTAGTACGTGCCTATAGTTCCAGCTACTCGGAGGGCTGAGGCAGAAGGATCACCTGAGTCCAGCAGGTCGAGGCTGTGGTGGCCATGAGTATGCCATTGCACTAGCCTTGGAGACAGAGTAAGACTCCAACTCAAAAAAAACAAAAACAAAAACAAAACCCCCAAAAAACCAGAAGAATATCTTTCTATTGCAGGGATAGAGAAAATTTTCTCAAACAAAATACAAAAACTGAAAAAGAAAAGTGAATAAGTTCCAATACATTAAAATTGAGAATTTTTTTTGAATCAGTTTCACTGTCACTTAGGCTGCAGGGCAGTGGTATGATCACAGCTCACCATAGCCTCAACCCGCTGGGCTCAGGTGATCCTTACATCTCAGCTTCCTGAGAGCTGAGCCTACAGGTGTGTGCCATCACACCTGGATAATTTTTTAATTTTTTGTAGAGATGAGTACTTGCTATGTTGCCTTGGCTGGTCTAGAACTCCTGGGCTCAAGCAATCCTCCCGTTTCAGCCTCCCAAACTGCTGGGATTATAGGCATGAACCACGGCACATGGCCGAAAATTAAGAATTCAATTCAAGCTGGGCAAGGTGGCTCACGCCTGTTATCCTAGCACTTTGGGAGGTGAAGGTGAGAGGATTGCCTGAGTCTAGAGTTTTGAGACCAGCCTGGGCAACTTGGTGAGACCTTGTTTCTACACTGAATCAAAAAATTAGCTGGGCATAGTGGCGCGTGCCTGTAGTTCCAGCTACTTGGAAAGCTGAGGCAGAAGGACTGCCTGAGCCCAGCAGTTCGAGGTTGCGGAAGCCCTGAGAGTGCCACTATACTCCAGCCTGGGCAACATAGTGAGACTCTGACTCAAAAAAAACAAAAACAAGAAATTCAATTAATCAAAAGATACTATGAGGAGAATGAAAAAAAAGTGTACAAACTTGGAGATTCTTGAAGCATATATAACAAATAAACACAAATCCTAAATATATAAAGAACTATGAATCAATGAAAAAAAACTCAATGGAAAACTATAAAAGAAACAGTCATTTTGCAGAAGAGAAAACACAAATGGCAAGAAACATACAGAAATATGTTTAAGCTCATTAGGAAGAAGGAAAAGGCAAATTAAAACCACAATGAAGCCGAGCTCGGTGGCTCAGCCTGTAATCCCCCGCCTTTGGGAGGCTGAGGTGAGTGGATTGCCTGAGCCCGCAGGTTCAAGACCCGCCTGGGCAACTTGGCGAGACCTCATCTCTACAATAAATCAAAATGAGCCGGGCGTGGCAGTGCACGCCTGTAGTTCCAGCTACTTGGAAGGCTGAGGCGGAAGGATCACTGGAGCCCAGCAGGTCGAGGCTGCGGTGGCCGGGAGCGGCCACTGCACTCCAGTCTGGGTAACAGAGTGAAACTCTAACTCAAAAAAACAAAACAAAACAAAAAAACAACGAAATATTACTGTACACCCATCAAGTTGGTAAATATTTTAGTTTAACAATACTGCAGCTGGGCGTGATGGCTCACACCTATAATCCCAGCACTTTGGGAGGCTGAGCTGAGAGGATTGCATGAGTTCACAGGTTCAAGACCAGCCTGGGCAACTTAGCGAGACCTCATCTCTACAATCAATCCAAAAATTAGCTGAGTGTGGTGGTGCTGCCTGTAATTCCAGCTACTTGGAAGGCTGAGGTGGAAGGATCACCTGAGCCCAGCAGGTTGAGGCTGCGGTAGCCGTTAGCGTGCCACTGCACCCCAACCTGGGTGACAGAGAGAGAGTCCAACTCAAAAAAACAACAACAAAAAACTAAGCACTGTTGAGGATGTGAAGCAATGGACCTCTCCTATACTGCCAGTGGGAGGATAAATCAGTACAATCTCTGGGGAAAACATTTGAGTTTTCCCAGCAACTTGAAGATTTGTGTATTTATTTATTCTTTTTTTTGAGTTGGAATCTCACTCTGTCGCCCACACCAGAGTGCAGTGGCATGCTGACGGCCATCCCAGCATTGACCTGCTGGGCTCCAGTGATCCTTCCACCTCAGTCTTTCTTTTTTTTTTTTTTTTTTTTTTAGTAGCTTGATTACCATGCCCAGCTAGTTGTTGATTTATTCTAGACACGAGGTCTCACTATGTTACCCAGGTTGGTCTTCAACCCCTAGGCTCAGGCAATCCTCTCGCCTCGGCCTCCCAAAATGCTGGGATTACAGACTTGAGCCCCCAATTTGCATATTTATAACTCAAAATTTCCACTCCCCAATATTATAAGCTAGAGAAAGACTCAGACGCTTCAAAATGCTGACAATAGTCTACCTTTTCATCTGTCTGGTGGGTCTATGAGTGTTCTTTTTGTTTTTTATAACTTGCGAGAACATTACATTTTATTATTATTACTACTTTTTTTTTTTTTGAGTCAGAGTCTCACTCTGTTGCCCAGGCTGGATGGAGTACAGTGTCACACTCACAGTCACTGCAGCCTTGACATGCTGAGCTTCGGCAATTCTTCCGCCTCAGTCTTCCAAGTAGCTGGAACTACAGGCATGTGCCACCATGCCCAGCTAATTTTTTTGACTTATTGTAGAGAGGAGGTCTCACCATGTGGCCCAGGCTAGTCTCATACCCATGGGCTCAGGCAATTTTCTTGCCTCTACCTCCCAAAGTGGTGAGACTATAGGATGAGCCACTGCGCCCAGCTACGTATTATTTTTTATGTAAGAAATTTTTATGGCAGGGTTGGTGGCTCAAACCTGTAAGCAGGAGGATCACCTATGACCAGGAGTTCGAGACCAGCCTGAGCAACATAGCAAGACTCTATCTCTACAAAAAAACTAGAAAATTAGCTAGTAGTCCTAGCTACTTGGGAAGTAGAGGTGGAGGATCACTTGAGCTCAGGATTTTAAGATTGCAGGGAGCTATGATTGTGCCACTGCACTCCAGCTTGGGTGACAGAGCAAAATCCTGACTCCAAAATATGGGAAAAAAATTATATTTAATGATATGAAATATTTAATAATTTACTTATTTAAGATTGGAAAATATAGTTTATTTAGTAAGTAAATTAGAGAGAGGAGAGAGAGCAGACATGAAAGAAAGAGTGAGAGAGAAAAAGAGAGAGAGGGAGAGGAGATTCACCTACCCAAGGTAGGGGAGGGGCCAAAGCTTAGGAAAACATGGCCTGGTCATAGCTCCTAAAACACATAGCCAGATGGTGGTTTAGCAAGGCAATCGCCATATTTTGTAATTTAAAAAACAACAATAAAAGTCCTTACCATGGGATATCATTGTCATTTTGTAAAAAGACCTTTTAACACCATAAAAGTAAAAAAAAAAAAAAAAAAAGGCATAATAACCTTAAATTAAGAAAAAAAATGTCATTAGAAAGCCAGGATTCCTGGCTAGGCGCGGTAGCTCACACCTATAATCCCAGCACTTTGGGAGGCGGAGGCAAGAGGATAGCCTGAGTCCAGGGGTTCAAGATCAGCCTGGTCAACTTGACAAGAATCTATAATAACTCAAAAAAATGAGCCGGGCGTGATGGTGTGTGCCTGTAGTTCCAGCTACTTGGAAGGCTGAAGTGGAAGGATCACCTGAGCCCAGTAGGTCAAGGGTGCAGTGACCATGAGTGTGCGTGCCATTGCACTCCAGCCTGGGTGACAGAGTGAGACTCTGACTCAAAAAAAAAAAAAAGGAAATTCAGGATTCCTGTAGATATAAGAAACACAATAATGTATTATTAATTTATTCCTAGAATCTTACTAAAATTATTATACAAGTACAATAACATCCTTTAGAAATAATTATAATTTTCCTTTGAGAAAAAACATGAAAAAGCTCCAAATAAAGTCTAATTATTCAAAATCAAATTACTGCTAGGGACACCTTTAAGATTACAACTACAAATCAAGCCGGGTCTGGTGGCTCAGCCTGTAATTCTAGCACTTTGGGAGGCCAAGGTGAATAGATTGCCTGAGTCCGCGAGTTCAAGACCAGCCTGGGCAACTTGGTGAAACCTCATCTCTACAATAAATTAAAAAAAAAATTAGGCAGGTGTGGTAGCACGCACCTGTAGTTTCAGCTACTTGGAAGGCTGAGGTGGAAGGATCGCTGGAGCCCAGCAGGTTGAAGCTGAGGTGGTCATGAGTGTGCCACTGTACTCCAGACTGAGCAACACAGTGAGACTCCAACTCAAAAAAAGCCCAAAAGAAAAAAAAAACTCAAAAATAGTTTGCATTTTGGTGATGGCTTTACAATGTGTGAATGTACTTAATGCCACTGAACTGTACACTTAAAAATGATTAAGATGGTACATTTTATAGGTGCATTTTATCACAATTGATTTTTTTTTTTGAGTTGGAGTCTCACTCTGTCACTCAGACTGGAGTACAGGGGCTGCTCCCGGCCACTGTAGCCTCGACCTGCTGGGCTCTGGTGATCCTTCAGTCTCAGCCTTCTAAGTAGCTGGAACTATAGGCACATGCTACCACGCCCAGCTAATTTTTGATTTTATTGTAGAGATGAGGTCTCGCCAAGTTGCCCAGGTGGGTTTCGAACCCGCGGCTCAGGCAATCCACTCACCTCAGCCTCCCAAAGGGCTGGGATTACAGGCTGAGCCACCGAGCCCAGCTCACAACTGATTTCTAATTTAAAAAAATTTTAAAGGAAAAAGTGGATTGCATTTATCAAAGAAATAATTAAAAAATCAGCATTCCCTTTAGGAATGCACAAAAACAGAAACAAAAACAAAAAGTCTTCCTGACAGCAGAGTATCCCCCCACCCCCGGGATCCTCTTGTACCTGTGCACAACTGCAGAGCCTCCAGCTCATCAGCATTGAGGTGCATGTAAGAATGAAGGATGGTCCAGTCCTGTCGATGCCACACCAGGGCAGGCAGAGTCCTGGGGAATCAAGGCAAGAATTCAGCGGGTGCTGAACCACACCTTAAAGACTCAGCATCAATTCTAAAGTATGTACTACAGGCAAGGCACGTGCCAAGCACTTTATATAAATTATTTACAGTTCAAAAAATCAAACTTATGAGGTAGGTATTATGATATTCATTTTACAGATGAAGGAACTGAGGCTCAGAAACATTCAGTATCTTTTATTATATGTAATCATAAAGTTAACCAGTTGCTTTCCCAGGATTTTAACCCAGGTTTGACTATGAAGCCTTTCTTCTTTTTATTATCTTACCACTTAGTCTCTGCCAGCCTCAGTTTTCTCATTCATAAAGCAGGGTAATATTTTCTTGCAGAGTTCTTGTCATGAATAGAAGTAATAACTTAAGGTTTTTTGTTTTTGTTTTGAGTTGGAGTCTCACTCCATCACCCAGGCTGAGTGCAGTGCAGTAGCACGCTCACGGCCACCCCAGCATCAAACTGCTGGGCTCCAGTGATCCTGTCTCAGCCTTCCAAGGAGCTGGAACTACAGGCATGCACTACCATGCTCAGCTAATTTTTTTTATTTTTTTAATTGTAGAGATGAGGTCTCGCCAAGTTTCCCGGGCTGGTCTCCAACCCACAGGTTCAGGCAATCCACTTGCCTTGGCTTCCCAAAGTGCTGGGATTACAGGCTGAGTCAACGTAAGTTATTTAAAAAAAATTTCTGGCATTCAGTAAACCCAGCACAAATGCGAAATCTCCTTGTTTTTAAAAAAGGATCTATGCAGGGTACGGTGGCTCATGCCTATAATCCCAGCACCTTGAGAGGCCAAGGTGAGAGGACTGCCTGAGCCCACAGGTTCAAGACCAGCCTGGGCAACTTGGCAATACCTCATCTCTACAATAAAACAAAAAAGAATTAGCTGGGTGTGGTGGCACATGCCTGTAGCTCCAGCTACCTGGAAGGCAGAGGCAGAAGGATCACCTGAGCCCAGCAGGTCGAGGTTGTGGTGGCCGTGAGTGTGCCACTACACTCCAGCCTGGGCAACAGAGTAAGACTCCAACTTGAAAAAAAAAAGGTGAGGAATGGTGGCTCAAGCCTGTAATCCCAGCACTTTGGGAGGCCAAGGCAAGAGGATTGCCTGAGCTCACAAGTTTGTGACCAGTCGGGGAAACTTAGTGAGACCTCGTCTCTACAATAAATTAAAAAAATAAGCTGGGCATGGTAGCGCATGCCTATAGTTCCAACTACTTGGAAGGCTGAGGCAGAAGGATCGCCTGAGCCCAGCAGGTCAAGGCTACGGTGGTGGTGAGCATGCCACTGCATGGGCGACAGAGTGAGACTCCAACTCAAAAAAAAAAAAAAAAGAACAAGTTAGATTTAGTAAGTAAAAACTTTAAAAAAGAGATTTTTTGGCAAAATTGAACAGAAGGAACAACTTGCCTAAAACAGGGGTCAGCAAACTATAGCCCATGGGTCAGCTGACTATCTCTGTAAACAAAGTTTTATTGAACACAGTCATACTCAGTCATTTACTTATGTGTTTCTGTGGCTGCTTTTGTGCTATCCACGCAGCTAAGTAGTTGGGACAGAGGCTGTATAAATATAATAACAAGCCGGGCTCGGTGGCTCAGCCTGTAATCCTGCGCCTTAGGAGGCTGAGGTGAGTGGATTGCCTGAGCCCGCAGGTTCGAGACCTGCCTGGGCCACCTGGTGAGACCTCGTCTCTATAATAAATAAAAAAATTAGCCAGGTGTGGTAGCACGCGCCTGTAGTTCCAGCTACTTGGAAGGCTGAGGCGGAAGGATCGCGGGAGCCCAGCAAGTCGAGGCTGCGGTGGCCGGGCAACAGAGTGAGACTCCAACGTAAATAAATAAATAAATAAAATAACAATGATATTATTATATTCATAAGCCTAAAATATTTACTCTCTGGCAAGAAAAAGTTTGCTAACTCCTCACCCTAAAATATTCCTATTTATAAAAAGTTAAAGCAGAAACTATCCAAATTCAGTGACTTAGAAATATTATATCTAAATTGAAACATTAGACCAAAATGATATTTAACTCCCAGACTAACACATGCTATCTATACCAAATGTGAAACAGAACAGAGCACATGGTAACATCTAGTGCTCAAAACTGTCTGTCAAAAAAGTTTACACTTTTTAATAATTAGAGATGCTACCTGGTAAACTCCTGCACAGCTTCTATTTTGGGGTGATAGACAACAATTCTTTTCTTTAGCATCAGTGCTGTGTGTAAGATAACAGTTTCCATTCCAAACTGAGATACAATGTCTTCAAAAAAGAGAAATTACATTATTGCATTAGGAAATAAAGTTGTTATCAGAAAGAATTCTTGTCATATGAACAAAAAATTATTGTTAATACAGGCAGTAAATGTAGGCAACTGTTGTTAAGTATACAAACACCTTATTTGGACAGGTTTATCTATACTATGTCTGTGTTACAGCGCCCACACTGTTCCCTAAAGGACTCTATACTGGATGCAGATAAAGCCAGACTCACAAAAAGTAAAACAAATAATATGAAGGAAAACCAGTATCGGCCGGGCTCAGTGGCTCAGCCTGCAATCTCGCGCTTTGAGAGGCCGAAGTAAGTGGATTGCCTGAGCCCGCGGGTTTGAGACCTGCCAGGGCAACTTGGTGAGACCTCATTTCTACAATAAAAATCAAAAAATTAGCCAGGCGTGGTAGCACGTGCCTGTAGTTCCAGCTACTTGGAAGGCTGAGGCGGAAGGATTGCCGGAGCCCAGCAGATCGAGGCTGTGGTGGCCGGGAGCAGTCACTGCACTCCAAGTCTGGGTGACAGAGTGAGACTCCAACTCAAAAAAAAAGAAGAAGCCGGGTTCGGTGGCTCAGCCTGTAATCCCACGCTTTGGGAGGCTGAGGTGAGTGGATTGCCTGAGCCTGTGGGTTTGAGACCCGCCTGGGCAACTTGGCGAGACCACATCTCTACAATAAATCTAAAAAATTAGCCGGGTATGGTAGCACGCGCCTGTAGTTCCAGCTACTTGGAAGGCTGAGGTGGAAGGATCGCCGGAGCCCAGCAGGTTGAGGCTGTGGTGGCCGGGAGCAGCCACTGCACTGCAGTCTGGGCGACAGAGTGAGACTCCAACTCCAAAAAAAAAAAAAAAGAAAGAAAAAAGAAGAAGAAAAATTTAACTGTAAAGCCTGGGTGTAGTGGGTCACACCTGTAATCCCAGCAATTTGGGAGGCTGAGGCAGAAGGATAGCTTGAGGTCAGGAGTTTGAGACCAGCCTGGGCAACATAGCAAGACTCTATCTCTAGTACAAAAAGAGCCAGGTGCGATGGTTCACACCTATAATTTCAGCACTTTGGGAGGGGGAGGCGACAGGATTACCTGAACTCAGAGGTTCAAGACCAGCCTGAGTAACATTGGCGAGACCTTGTCTCTACAATAAATAAAAAATATAAAAAAATCAGCTGGGCATGGTGGCACATACCTGTGGTTCCAGCTACTTGGAAGACAAGTGGAAGGAAAACCTGAGTCCAGCAAGTCAAGGCTGTGGTGGTTGTGAGCATGCCACTGCACCTCAGTTGAGTGACAGAGTAAGACTCTGACTCAAAAAAAAAAAAGAAAAAAGAAAAGGAAAGAGCCGGGTTCGGTGGCTCAGTCTGTAATCCCAGCACTTTGGGAGGCTGAGTTGAGTGGATTGCCTGAGCCTGTGGGTTTGAGACCCGCCTAGGCAACTTGGCGAGACCTCATCTCCACAATAAATCAAAAATTACCCAGGCATGGTAGTGTGCACCTGTAGTTCCAGCTACTTGGAAGGCTGAGGCAGAAAGATCGCCGGAGCCCAGCAGGTCGAGGCTGCGGTGGCCAGGCGCAGCCACTGCACTCCAAGTCTGGGCGATAGAGTGAGACTCCAACTCAAAAATAAAGAAAGAAAGAAAAGGAAAGGAAAGCATAGCTGCTAAGATCTAAGGAAGAAAAATTATGGAAGCAGTGGAAATGTTGAGCCATGAAATTCAGCTTACCAGTGAGAGAACATTTCTTTATTAACTGAATAATATGGAAAGGAGCACCACAAAAACCTGTTTTCTTCTAAGAGAATTCTAACCCAGTGGAAATAAAGAGTTGAAGTACCTTCCTATATAGAAAAAAAACACTATACGGATGAAAATAACGTATGGTAAGATAGCACAATGGAATCTAATGAGGCTGCCCATGGCTTGTGGATTTTGTTGTTGGGATGGATTTTGGTTTTCTTTCTTTCTTTCTTTTTTACCTCTGATGGAGCCAGCAAGGTATGCCTTTCGGAAATCAAAGTCTTTGCTAAGGAAAGAGCCATTTTCTTCACTCTGGCATATTCCCTTTGTGAGAACTGCAATATAACTCTCCATCATTTTAACTGGGCTCCCATGTTTCAGGTACATTCTGTAAGAAAGGATAAAAAAAGAAACCAAAGTCAACTTGTTAATACACTACTAAATGCTTGAATCTCTTCATGATATGTATTATTTCTCTAATTTAGTTAAAAATATATTTAAAAGGAAAAAGCCTTAAGAGACCTTCAACAATTCTTCGCAATCAGCTTTCTCCTTCCATTTGGGAAATCTGCTATAGTCACTAATCAGGAGAATGAAATATGAACTTTCTGAGGCCCCATGATTCTCAAGAACATCGTATACTTATCCTTTTTTAGGTCTTACATTCACAACTGGTGTTCTTTTTTTTTTTTTTGAGTTGGAGTCTTACTCTGTTGCCCAGGTTTGGAGTGCAGTGGCACACTCATAGCCACTGCAGCCTTGCCTGATAGGCTCAAGCGATCCTTCCTCCTCAGGCTTCCAAGTAGCTGGAACTACAGGTATGTGCCACCATGCTCGGCTAATTTTTTGATTTATTGTAGATGAGGTCTCACCAAGTTGCCCAGGCTGGTCTCCAACCCCTGGGCTCAGGCAATCCTCTCACATCTGCCTCCCAAAGTGCTGGGATTACAGGCTTGAGCCACCACGCCCAGCCACAACTGGTGTTCTTAGTCATACAACTCTGTTTTATTGCTGGGATTTCCTTTGACAAGAAAAGAGTTTTATGCATTGTTCTCAGAGAAAGCAGTAATTAGCTTTAGAACCCATACTTATTATCAGAGTTCCCAGAGGTAGCTATCTTTAGAGTATTAAGAAATCAAAACTCTTTTAAGTTTCTGGTGATAAATGTGCATTAGACATTCATCATCAAGTTAAAGCTTCCAGAAAACACCGACAGGACTCTGGCTGCATTTATAGCTCACATGTGGGTTAGTTCCCCCCTCCTTGAGATCTCTTCCTGTGATCAAGTAATACTAAATTTTGCTTGAGAAATATGACTGGGTCTCCTTGAGCCTTTCAGCAGCTGATAGGATAGAAAATTGGGAAGAAAATAAAACTGATGTTTAAGACAGATCACTTGAAAACTATATTTTATCATAGATCAACTGAAAAAAGTATCTTAACTGCTTACCAAATTTTGTCAATCTTTATTACTTTAATCCACAACTTGAGAAAAAAAGATAGAGAATAATGAATATGGTAAACTCTCATGTATGTAAATACATTAAAACCCATAAACTCACACATATGTTTATGCAGGGAAAAATATCTCTGGTGTTATATGGGGGTAGGGGTCAGGAGGCAGAAATGGAGTCTGGGGAACAAGGGAGAAGGGGGTTTCATTTTCACTAGATACTCTTCTGTATGTTTTTAAATATGTTTTATCACCACCAACAACAAAAAAAATTAAAATGCCAGTAACATTATAAAATAGAAACAATATACAGTAATAGAGAAGAGAAACACAAGGTTGGCAGGATAAGACAACCTCCCACATGACAACCCTGAGCCATGAGAGATGAAACACGTGGGAATTCCCCAAAACCACTCCCCAGGAAAAGCCCACAGTGCCACTCAGAGGACCTTGTTCAGATGGACACCCACAGGCTGCCACATCTGCCTGGACAGCTGACTCCAAGTATATATGAAACCCCTGATTCTCTACCAGGATCACTAGCTGCAGGGACTAGAGGATGAAGGAAGTTAACAGAAGTTAGCTGGGAACCAGTGAAGCCTTCTCATGAAGGTTTCTAGGGCCACTGTATATGACATGCTGTAGGAGGCACGTCTGCCTGCTTCCCCAGAAATGGAAGGGAGCAACTCCACATTAACTCCACTGTCAAAAAATGGTGTCTGGCTGGGCATGGTGGCTCACACCTGTAATCCCAGCACTTTGGGAAGCTGAGCCAGGAAGATCGCTTGAACCTAGGAGTTTAAGAACAGCCTGGGCAACATAGTAAGACTCTATCTCTTAAAAAAAAATTTTTTTTAAAGTGTCTGTGTGTGCATGTCCATGCAGATGCAGGTGTGCATGGGGGTTGTGTGTGTGTGCATAAGTACATAGGTGTACACACATGCAAAAGTGAGCACACAAGGGCAGTAAGTGGTGAGAGGCAGAGGTGACCAGAGATAGCTCTGAGTCTTCAATTCTCTTGCACTGTGATGGGGAGGAGAATCTAGCATGCTGCAATGCCACAGCACTGCAAAGCTGAGAAACCCTCCAGGTTTCTGTGTGCATAGGAAGTAGGGTCTAAAGCAACCTTGCCTTCTGGATCCCAGAATATTACCCAGAGCATTCAGTTAAATGAAATGGAAGTCCAGTGTTTGTTTAAACACACCTCTGTCGTTTTTTTAGTTTATATAGCTTCTAGATAGCATCTCTCTGGCAATAATAATCTCCCTTTGTATAAGTGCCACATGAGCAGATAATTGTTAATCCATAGTGAGACATTCACCTGGAATTTATCTTATGACAGCAGGAAGCCTTTTTATTGTAGCTGGTTGCAGTGACAGTAAAACCTCATTTAGCCAAATATAATCTACTGAAACCCTTAGGTAATTAGAAGATATTCTTGTACTAGGGTTTCTCTCTCTCTCTCTCTTTTTTTTTTCTGGTTGTGTGCACAAAAATGGCAAAAAGGCAACCATTTATTGAACTTACAATAAAAACAATTCCCTTCACCATCACCAATGCCCCCCAAAAAACTACTTATTGGGCAAAAACCTGAGGGCTGAAGGTAATAAAGAACACCTAGAAGTATAATTCTACCTAGTAACAACAATTTTTTTTTTTTTAAGACAACTAGGGTTGGGCTCAGTGGCTCAGCCTGTAATCCCAGCACTTTGGGAGGCCGAGGTGAGTGGATTGGCTGAGCCTGTGGGTTCGAGACCAGCCCGGGCAACTTGGCGAGACCTCGTCTCTACAATAAATCAAAATCACCCGGGCATAGTAGCGCATGCCTATAGTTCTGGCTACTTAGAAAGCTGAGGTGGAAGGATGGCCGGAGCCCAGCAGGTCGACACTGGGGTGGCCGTGAGCGTGCCACTGTACTCCAGCCTGGGCGACGGGATGAGACTCCTACTCAAAAATTAAACAAAACTAAACAACTAAAATACTGCAAAAACCATCATTAATAAAGAACTAATGTCTCTGACATCTAAGAAAGATTTCATTAAGTCCACTAGATATACTTAACAGGGCCAGAAAATGGACTGTATATTTTAGATAATCTTTTTCACCAGCTGGGATGAAACTACTTGAATCATGATTAACCAATTAATCAGAATTCCCTAGCCTTTCAGCATTTCCACTAACAAATGTTTTCTTATGCTTCAGCATAATTCAAAATATCCATTAACTTCCCCCCAAATGAGTGCCACAAATAGACCTCGACACATATGAACAAATACCACATCATAAGGCACTTAACTTATCCATCTGCTAAGGAAATTCTAGATTGGAAGTGAATGGAAGTAACACACCAAAAGTAGGCAGTGACTCAAAACACCCAGGAACTAGATAGCTATGCAAACTGCCTCTTCTCTTCCCCTAGTTCATTTCCCCAAATAAGAGAAGCAGTATCAATAGGCATAAGAGAAAGCCCCTCTTCACAAAACAGTCATGAAGGGTCGTTAAGTTGGGGAGACAGAGAGCTGAAATGTGCTTTCTCAGTGTAGAAACCTGCTATGTAACTGTTAAGATCTTCATTGTGTATATTAGCATGCGAAACAGTTTTTATACAGACCTACACAATATCCTAGTGAAGGCAGCATATTTCTCTGGGTTAAAATCTTTGGCGGTCAGAACAATAGAAAAATGAGTCACCTGTCCAAGAGAAACAAAAAAAGTAGACTTTTTAAAGATACTTTAATAGAATTAAATTTTTATTACTATAGTCTAATAAACTTCTGGCACAAAACACACCAGCATTAAAAGGAAAAAGACCAAAAGATAACAAGTCCCCACATGCTTCTTTATACTTTTATATGAGTGCATGCATTAAATATATGCATTATGTACTTATTTTCTATATGTATATATTTCCTATATTGAATGTAATTCTCTTTTTTTTTTTTTGAGTTGGAGTCTCACTCTGTCGCTCACTCTGTGCAGTGGCATGCTCACAGCCACCACAGCTGCGACCTGCCGGGCTCTGGTGATCCTTCCCCCTCAGTCTTCCAAGTAGCCACAACTACAGGTGCGTGCTACCATGCTCGGCTAATTTTTGATTTATTGTAGAGAGGAGGTCTCACCAAGTTGCCCGGGTGGGTCTCGAACCTGCGGGCTCAGGCAATCCACTTGCCTTGATCTCCCAAAGTGTTGGGATTACACACTGAGCCACTGAGCCCAGCCATCGAATGTAATTCTCAAAAAGTTTCTTCAAAAACACAAAAGTAAGCCGGGCTCGGTGGCTCAGCCTGTAATCTCGCGCCTTGGGAAGCTGAGGTGAGTGAACTGCCTGAGCCCGCGGGTTTGAGACCCACCTGGGCAACTTGGTAAGGCAATAAATAAAAATTAAATTAAATTAAAAAAATAAAAAATAAAATAAAATAAATTAGCCGGGTGTGGTAGCACGCGCCTGTAGTTCCAGCTACTTGGAAGGCTGAGGCGGAAGGATCGCCGGAGCCCAGCAGGTCGAGGCTGCGGTGGCCGGGAGCGGCCACTGCACTCCAGTCTGGGCGACAGAGTGAGACTCCAACTCAAAAAACAACAACAACAACAATAAAAAAAAACACAAAAGTACTTCACTCAAATACACAAAAGTGTTTCTACTTAATGTCCCCTAATCTCCTCAAAGCAGAACAAAGGATTGCTAAATCAATCCTATCAATTTCACAACTGCTTTTTTTTCCCCCCACACCGTTTCACTATTTTATTTTACTATTTTTTAAAGTCAAGATCTCTCTCTGTCACCCAGGTTGGAGTGCAGTAGCATAATCACGGCTCACTGCAGCCTGGACCTCCCAGGTTCAGGTGATCCTTCTGCTTCAGCCTCCCAAGTAACTGGACAGGCACACACCACAATACTCAGCTAGTTTTTAAAATGTTTTGCAGAGATGAGGTTTCGCTTGCTGTCTAGGTTGGTCTCAAATGTCTGGGTTCCAGCAATCCTCCTGCCTTGAACTCCCAAAGTGCTGGGATTATAGACACAATCCACCACATTCAGTCTTACTTTTTTTTTTTTTTTTTGAGATGGGGTCTTGCTATGTTACCCAGGCTGGACTTGAATTCCTGGGCACAAGTGATCCTCCTGCCTTAACCACCCAAGTAGCAGAGTTTATAGGCATATGCCACCACACCCTTATTTTACTTATTTTTATTGATACATAAGATCTACTGGTCAGGAATGGTGGCTCACATCTGTAACCCCAGCATTTTGTAAAGCCAGTGCAGGAGGATAGCTAGAGGGCAGGAGTTCAAGACCAACCTGGGCAACACAGAGACCCTGCTTCTATTACTAAAAAAAAAAAAAAAAAGATGCACACATTTTCAGGGTACATGTAATAATCTGATATTCACATACTGTATAAAGACCAAATCAAGGTAACTGGGATATCTATCACCTTAAACATATATTTTTTCTTTATGCTAGGAACATTCAAAATATTCTCTTCTAGCTATTTTGAAATATACAATAGATTACCACCAACTATAGTTGTCCTACAATCTATCAAATAGCAATTGTTTTTTATAGACGGGTGGAAAACAACAAAATTCATCTCAGTAACAACCATACATTTAATTATCTGCAGAATGCTATCAACTAAAAGGTACTGTTATAAGAAAAACTTCATTTACTTACATGCCTCTATTATTATTATTATTATTTTGAGTCGGAGTCTCACTCTGTCGCCCAGATTGGAGTGCAGTGGCCACTCCCGGCCACCGTAGCCTCGACCTGCTGGGCTTCAGCGATCTTTCTGCCTCAGCCTTCCGAGTAGCTAGAACTACAGGCATACGCTACCATGCCCGGCTCATTTTTTATTTTATTGTAGAGATGAGGTCTCACCAAGTTGCCCAGGCAGGTCACAAACCCGCGGGCTCAGGTAATCCATTCATCTCAACCTCCCAAAGCACTGGGATTACAGGCTGAGCCACCAAGCCCGGCTTCTCTTCTTGCAAATTTACATTTTTCTAATAATCTGTTTTGTTTTGAATCTCAAATAGGTTCTCAATTGTTAACTTCCTGTTATTTTAAGAGTAATTTCTTAAATTTAAGCTGATGTGCTTGTCATGCTTCATACAGTCCCATTATTGGCTAAAAATGATCCCTGAAAAGAGAAAAGCCAGGCATGGTGGCTCACGCCTATAATCCCAGCATTTTGGGAGGCTGAGGTGAGAGGACTGCCTGAGCCCATGGGTTCGAGACTAGCCTGGGCAACTTGGCAAGACCTCATCTCTACAATAAATCCAAAACTTAGCCAGGTGTGGTGGTACGTGCCTGTAGTTCCAGCTACTTGGAAAGTTGAGATGGAAGGATTACCTGAGTCTAGCAGGTCAAGGCTGCAGTGGCCATGAGTGTGCCACTGCATTCTAGCCTGGGCAACAGAGTGAGACTCTGACTCAAAAAAGAAAAGAAAAGAGAAAAGATGTCTCCATCTATGTGCATGCCAGAGGCTTAGCCACTTTGTTCCAATATTCTTTTCTTTGAAAAACCTGCTAGTTGCTTGGGATTAGAAAAGTCCACAAGGACCACATACTGGTTTTCCACATGTTGTGTTGATAGTTTCATATCAACAATGTACAAAAAAAAGCCTACTTGATACATGAGTTTCCTTAATTATCCTTTCTAAATTCTTAACATATCCTCATCATCCACACGCAAATGAAAAAAAATTCTTAACTATGCAAGGATAATCATATTTTTAAAAATAGTTTTCAAGCCAGGTTTGGTGGCTCAGCCTGTAATCCCGCACCTTAGAAAGCTGAGATGAGTGGACTGCCTGAGCCTGAGGGTTCGAGACCCGCCTGGGCAACTTGGTGAGACCTCATCTCTACAATAAATCAAAAAATTAGCCGGGCGTGGTAGCGCGTACCTGTAGTTTCAGCTACTTGGAAAGCTGAGGCAGAAGGATTTCCAGAGCCCAGCAGGTCAAGGCTCTGGTAGCCGGAAGCGGCCATTGCACTCCAGTCTGGGCAACAGAGTGAGACTCCAACTCAAAAAATAAATAAATAAATAAATAAAATAAAAATAGTTTTCAATTATGGTAAAATACTTCTTCCTGCTATTAACTAGTCATGGCGTTGAAACTACTTTTTTTTTTTGAGTTGGAGTCTCACTCTGTCACCCAGACTGGAGTGCAGTGGCCGCTTCCGGTCATTGCAGCCTCGACCTGCTGGGCTCCGGCGATCCTTCCGCCTCAGCCTTCCAAGTAGCTGGAACTACAGGCGCGTGCTAACACACCCGGCTAATTTTTTTATTTATTGTAGCGATGAGATCTCATCAAGTTGCCCAGGCGGGTCTCGAACCCGCGGGTTCAGGCAATTCACTCACCTCGGCCTCCCAAGGCGCAGGATTATAGGCTGAGCCACTGAGCCCGGCTGAAACTACTTTTAATAAGAGTACCTGACCTCGAACCACGCAAAGTGGGAACCAAAGGGAGGCTCAAACTTTACCTATACAATGAGCACTTGTATACTTAATCCTGAATTGCACCCCACAACTTTAAAATAAAATTTAAAAAAAAAGAAACTACTTTTACATTTGTATTCCACCAACCTTTAACTTCAATAAAGGGAAGAAGCCAGGCTCAGTGGCTCATGCCTGTAATCCCAGCACTTTGGGAGGCTGAGGTGAGAGGATTATCTGAGCCCAAGGGTTCGAGACCAGCCTGGGCAACTTGGCGAGACCACATCTTTATAATAAAATAAAAAAATTAGCCATGTGCCTGTAGTTCCAGCTACTCAGAAGGCTGAGGTACAAGGATCACCTGAGCTCGGCAGGTCAAGCATGCCACTGCACTCCAGCCTGGGTAACACAGTGAGACTCCAACTCAAAAAATTAAAAGCCAGGCTCGGTGGCTCAGTCTGTAATCCCGCGCCTTTGGGAAGCTGAGGTGAGTGGATTGCCTGAGCCCGAGGGTTCGAGACCCACCTGGGCAGCGAGACCTCATCTCTACAATAAATCAAAAAAAAAATCAGCCGGGCGTGGTAGCGCATGCCTGTAATTCCGACTACTCGGAAGGCTGAGGCAGAAGGATCGCCGGAGCCCAGCAGGTCAAGGCTGCGGTGGCCAGGAGCGGCCACTGCACTCCAGTCTGGGCAACAGAGTGTGACTCCGACGCAAAATAAATAAATAAATAAATAAATAAAATTTTTTTAAAAAAGGGAAGAGACCACATATTGCTGTGTTGCTCACCATTGTATCAACAGCAGGGTCTATCACAGAACAGATAACAATAAATATTTATAGAATGAATGAGAGTGAAGCATGAGAGAGAACACTTCTAATGAAAACAATATTTAAGCCAGGGATGGTGGCTCATGTCTATAATCCCAGCACTTTGGGAGGCTGAGGTGAGAGGACTACCTGAGCCCACAAGTTCAAGACTAGCCCGGGTAATTTGTCGAGACCTCATCTCTACAATAAATCAAGAAAAATTAGCGGGGTGTGATGTCACGTTCCTACAGTTCCAGCTACTTGGAAGGCTGAGACTAAAGGATCATCTGAACCCAGCAGTTGGAGGCTGTGGTGGCCATGAACGTGCCACTGCACTCTAGTCTTGGTGACAGAGTAAGACTCCCAACTCAGGAAAAAAAAATTTAATATTTTCAAAAGTGTATCATGAATGATAAGGTCTAAACTAAGTGATACTGGAATCATCTTATATTACTTTAAATATTTTTGGTTTTTTGGCCTTAATGTAGTCATACCTTTTTCAAAACTGAAGAATCCAGAACTTCAATTGTTGTGATATAAAACCATGTCCTTCTGTACTGACCGAAGACAAAGGGATGGAGAAGTTTGTTTTCATCAGTAAGGCAGCATTTTCTCAGGAGGAGATTCCTTAATGCAGTTGTTGTGGAAGGATAACACCACACCCAAAGAACTTCTCCATTCGTGTCCTTTTCTATGGTGGAAAGATGGTCACTGTGAGAATGTCAAACAGCAGCAAGGAAGTGAATTGATTGGTTACTCAGAAGCATTCAGTGGAATCAATTTTAACAATCCATTTTACAAAGCAACCTAAAGTACTTGAGACCTCACATTTCCTCCTATCTCTACTGTTCAAGTTATCTAGCTCTCATCATTTTGAATTGCAGGCCATCTTTGAAAAAGCTTGCATAACAAACCAGGAATGAATATTTAGCTATAGAGATTTCATAGATTTTCTCCTATATCCTCCTATGTAGATGCTTATAAACTAATAATTGCATTAAATTTTTATCTGGGAAGAATCATTAAAAAAATAAAGGTTTGCTGAAAACAAAACTGGTTAGCTTATAAAAACAAAAGAAAAAAGGAAAAACAAAACAAATTAACAAAATGGTGAAATCTTTCAAACCAGGTTGCATACTAATTGTGCAAATTCTGTATTTAAAATTTTTTAGAACCAGGGTAGTGGCTCACAGCTACAATCCTAGTTCTTTTGGAAGCTGAATGGGGAGGATTGTTTGCGCCTAGGAGTTTGAGGTTACAGTGAGCTATGATCATACCACTGTACTCCAACTTGGGCAGCAGAGTGAAAACCCATCTCTAAAATAAAATAAAAAATTTTAGGCCAGGTGTAGTGGTTTATGCCTGTAATCCCAGCACTTTGGAAGTCAAGAAAGGAGTATCCCTTGACCTCCAAGGGAGGCTCAGGCAATAGTCTCAGGCAATCGTCTCACCTTGGCCTCCCAAAGTGCTGGGATTATAGATGTGAGCCACTGCGCCCGGCCCCATGTGACACTTTAATACCTGTATATAACGTGTAATGAAGCCAAGAGTTTGAGACCAGCCTAGGCATCATAGCAAGACCTCATTTCTTAAAAAAGAAAAAGAAAAAAGAAAAATTAGCCAGGCATGATGGTATAGGCCTGTAATACATACTACCCAGGAGGCTGAGGCAGGAGGATCACTTGAGCCCAGGAATTTGAGGTTGCTGTGAGCTACGATTATGCCACTGCACCTTATCTCTAAAAAATAAAATTTTTTTAATTTTAAAAAATTAATAGTAAAACTTATCCAGTCATATGTACAATTATAACACTGAAGTAAACACCTCAATTACAAAAAAGGAACAATCTGCTAATAATAAAAACTCAAGACAAAAGAACCTAAATTTTAGAGAAACAGTCAATGCGTACAGAGCAGTAAGAAAACAATTATTTTCTATTTTTTTCTATTGATATATAATAGGTGTACATAATTTGGGAATACATGTGACTTTTTTGAGTTGCAGTCTCACTTTGTCCCCCAGGCTGGAGGGCAGTGGCACACTCATGGCCACCTCAGCCTTGACCTGCTGGGCTCAGGCGATCTTTCCGCCTCAACCGTTTAAGTAGCTGGAACTACAGGCATGTGTCACCACGCCTGGCTAAATTTCTAAATTTATTTTAGAGATGAGGTCTTGAACCCATGGGCTCAGGCAATCGTCTCACCTTGGCCTCCCAAAGTGCTGGGGTTATAGACGTGAGTCACTGCGCCCAGCCCCATGTGACACTTTAATACCTGTATATAATGTGTAAAGATCAAATCAGAGTAATTGGAATATCCATCCTCTCAAATGTTTCTTTTCTGTGTTGGGAATATTACAAATCTTCTCTACTAGCTATTTTCAAATATACAAAATTATTGTTAATCCAATTTTTGATCTATAAATTTTTTTTAAACTTTTTTTTTTTTTTGAGTTGGAGTCTTACTCCGTCACCCAGGCTGGAGTGTGGTGGCACGCTCATGGCCACCCCAGCGTCGACCTGCTTCCGCCTCAGCCTTCCAAGTAGCCGGAACTACAGGAACGCGCCTACTACACCTGCTAATGTTTTGATTTTACTGTAGAGACGGGTCTCACCATGTTGCCCAGGCTAGTCTCGAACCTACAGGCTCAGGCAATCCTCTCGCCTCGGCCCCTCAAAGTGCTGGGATTACAGGTTTGAGCCACTGTGCTTGGTCAAAACTTTTTATTTCAAAGAACTAAAAATAGATGTAAAAGTTTTAAAAGCCTTTTATTATGGAAAATATCTGGTATATAAAAAAGTAGATAGAATAATAAAACGAATTCCATCATTCAGTTTCAGCAATCATCAACACCTGGCCATCTTTGTTTCATATGAGGGAGGGGATTTTGAAACAAATCCCTTTTAAATGCATGTTAATATGAAAAATTTAAAACCTGCTGAAGTGAAAATATGACCGTCAGTAGTTATCTTTTTCTTCGCTGTTAATAGATAAAGTCAGAGTTTAACTCAGCCTTAATTCAGAAATATCTCCTGGTAGGACTAAATTGCCTGAGGCACCTAGGTTTTGTTTTGAAGCAATTTTAAAATCACAGAAATACACAAAGCTTCTCCCACATAAATGCACTCCTCTGAGACACTGAAAAATAATCAGCATACTCTTCAGTTTTGCTAAGCCTAAGCAATGCTCTTGTACACTGGGGACTAGACAGCATATTGGGATGTGCAAAAACCTCGGGGAAAAAAGGCTTTTTCAAAGGGAACCTACACGTTCATTCAAGCAACCTGGTGCTCCTGGTCATCTATGGGCTGAAGGGTTCCATCCCTGAAACACTGAACGCAGCTCACACATACATTCTGGGTTGCCCAAAGATCCCAAGGCAGGGATCTTTTAATCACAGAAAGATAACCAAATCCTGAAAACGAACCGAGATTCCACCACAAGTGTTTATGCAGAAACTCCAGCTATGTGCACGAGCTCAATCACATGACGCGCGAGTTCTCCAATGCTGGGAGTGGGGCCTCTGGCTACCCCGCAAGAGTCCCAACCCCGAGTCTGCCACTTCCTAGCGTGTGTAGGTGCACAAATAACACCGTAGGTCTCCACTGGCTCCTTCGTAAAGTAGGCATCAGACGCTCCCCACACCCCTGGGCCCCGGGTGAGAGTCCAACAGCATCATCGGTGCATAAAGCACAGCAATCCGAGCCGGCAGCTCGCCACCAGGTCTCGAGCCGCTGGATCCCGCGACAGGAGCGGGCAGGGCTAG